AAAATCATCTTAAATAACTTTTCAAAAAAACGGTAGTACTGGTAGAAGACGTCTATTATCATGTATAAAGGGCTGAATGGGAAACATTTCCTTAAATTCTAGAGATACTCCTAAGATGCACGTACTCAAGTCCTCACACACTATATAACAGCATCTCTTACCAGCCCTCAGGCACTCTCACCAGCCCTCAGATACTCTTACTAGCCCTCAGGGTGGGTGTGGATTCACCAGGGCCTAGGTCTTTTGTCACAGAAACTAGGAGCCATTCCCCACCATGACCAGGCCATCTGGAGGTAACCAGCTGACATAAAAAAGACAATAAGTGTTCTGAGCTCCTAAAATTTTGTGGTTGAGCTGGGGCATATTTCTGAAATATTACATTCGGGCCCCCAATACTCCTCAACATCACACTGGTAATTCGGTTCTGAAGGACTGGAGCTACTACTTTGGGTGGCATCCATAGCAATAAAATGCATTATTTTAACAATTAGCTTTGTCTCAGTTGAAAGCGCCATCACAGAGTTTTCAGGCACAGAAAACATTCTGGAATGTGGGGAGAAAGAGAGAATCGTTTTCTTTCCTTTGGGACACTGGCAAGCCCACATTTCACTCCACAGCTGATCTCACTGACGGGGAAGCCCGTGCTCACACCTCAGCTGACACAGCCCATACAAAACCTTGGCTCCTTTTGCTTAAAGTTAGCAAGCTGTGATTTTTCTGTTGTGCTTTCTTTACTTGGATAATTTATTTTCTAATCCGTCACCAACAATTTAGGATACTCCATTTCCAGCCCCCTGACACACACTCCGGAAATTCTCTTGAACCAAAAAGAGTAGTCATCAGAATGTCACACTCCCCACACATATGTCTGGGAGTTTGAGAACACAGTTCAAACCGCTTGGCCAGCCCTTCTGATAAGGTAGCGTGGAGGACAAAAAAGGACTTGTAAGCTTTGAAATATTTCTTATCTGGTCATCTTTGAAACCTGGTTTTGTGGGGGATTGAAAAAACAAAGCAAATTGATAGCTGGGGGGGCGTTGTCTGAATGTTTAAGCGTTCACATGTGTGGACTGACCATGTACATTAGAAACATTCTACGGTTAATGGAGGAAAGAGGGTCTTAGGCTGGACGGTCATCTTCCAAGACCTGCAGGGAGGGGAGTGATTTACTCTGGGTGTTTTCTAGTCAGAGGTTTAGAAGCAAACTAGGACTCATCAGCCTTTCTCTGCACGTGAGAGCACACACTTACATTTAAAGGGCGTGTTAGTTTTATAGAGTCTGTGTCTCAGACAATTGCTTACTCACGCTCGTTGAGGAAGAGGAAGTAGAATGTTGTGTAACTGGATGGAACCTCGGGAATTAATGCTGATATTTGGTAAGCTGCTTCCTCTTCTTCGTGTGTCTAATTCATGCTTTTCTGGACAAACGTCAAAACTGCAGCTCTCATCAGAAATGGCGTGTGTGTGCATTTTTACACGTTCACTTGCGTATGCGCATCTAGGTGCTTGTGCATGTTAGATGCCAGAGGTCAATGCCAAGTGTCACTCTCCATCTTATTTTTTGTCATTGGTTCTCTCACGGAACTCAGAGCTCACTGGTTGGATAGACTAGCTGGCCAGCAAGTTACAGGAACCCTTCCTGTCTCTGCCTCCCTGACCACCACCAGAGTTGGGGTCACAGGTGTGTTTTGCCACACTCAGCATTTCACCTGGATGCTGGGGATTCGAACTCAGGACCGCATGCTTGCACACTGAGCATCATACTGGCTGAGCCATCCTCTTAGCCTTCCTCGTCAGAAATACTGAACTCAAAACAAAAGCTTCTGAGTTCTTAATTAACTTTCAGGCGTGGTCCTCTTAGAGATTTATTTCTGAATGAGGGACGTTCTTAATGTAGATGCATCACTACTGCCTCATCTCTGGAGATGTGGTTGTATAGGCATGTTCAAACATATTTCTCTATTTGGCTCAGAAAGCCCCATTTTTTTTTCTCCTTTGCACTGATGCTCCTGTGAGAGATTTAGGTTTCAATGGAGTGGGAACTGCCAAGACCCCAGGAGCTTCTCTTGAGATATAGACAATTAAGCCAAAATTAGACAGTCTATAAGGCTGCCTCGCTCTGGTCTGAGGCCAGCTGTGCTTGCCTCTGAGATCCCAGGAGCAGCCTTCAGAGGGCTAGTCATCAGCCAAGTGTCACACACGGCTGTGTGGTCCTCAAGGTCTTCTTGGGACACCTCCCAGCAGCTTCTGAGGCCTCCAAGTCTAACACGGGGGGGCAGGACAGGGTCTAATCGCTCCAGATAAGCGGGTCCTTTTCTGACCTGGGCCTGTGAAGTTCTGGCGGCACACCGCACACCCAGGAGGGGAAAAGCACTTTAACACCGTCTCCTGTGCCTGAGATTTTGGCGCTGAGAAGACAATCAGTGATTGAATCCTAACATCTGCCTACAACCCCAAAGTCCCAAATCTGATCTCTGAGAATTACGTCTTGAACGTGATTTTTGAGGATCCATACCCTGACCCTGTGTGTGGTGTGGCCTGGCACAGCTGTGTTAGGAGAGGGAACTGTTGACAGAACGTGGATGTCAATGATGGTCAAGCCGGGTCCCCTCCCTGAGTGCTGCCTCTGATGTTAAAAGTCTGCCTGCTGCCTGGCTCCCCCCACCCCCGCCCAAGGCAAATTGTGTGATGATTTCCATACTGTGAGGAAAGCAGAGGCAAGCCCGGATGCAAGTCTCTGTGCTGGAAGAACTTCTATCATGAGTTTGTTTGGAAGCCAGAAACAGGCTGCCAGAGGAAGCTGCAGGCGCCGACTGGAGGCTTGGAGGGCGCTTCCTTTGAAGTCTGGTGGTCAGTTTCTGCCAGTTGTGGTTATGAACCCATCTTGTCCCACCAAAGGGGAAAGCTATTATTTAGAAGGGAGAGGCCCGTTTTAAACTTCTGTGTTAACCGACATATATGACAGAAACTTCTGTGTTTCAGGAACGAGAGCAATTTGCTTAATGTCAGGTTTGCCTACTCCTTTTAGAATGGTAGTTTTAAAAGAGCTGTTCCCCCCATTAATACTGTGAATTGAACCCAGGGCCTGGAACATGCAGACATGCACTCTACTGTGACAGCTTTTTTTTTTTTCTTTAATGGAACAAGTTAGCAGGCTGCAGACTGAGCTGGCTGCTCCCTCATGGTCGTGACCCACTCTGCAGTTGCAAGGCCCGTCAGGTTCTGCCTGCCTTTTTCAGGCTTCCCAGCCATGCTAGGCCTGCCTTCCACCCCTGGAGACCAGGTATAAATTTAAAATCATGTCTCTAGGGACCAAGAGATGAACCGCACTCCAGGGTATAGATAAGCCGGCCAGCCTCTGCAGTGGCACGCTGTTTATGATTTATTAAAGCTTGGCTGAGGATTCAGAAAGCAAGGTCAGCCACAAGCCGTAGGGATCGGGCATCGAGGATGCACACCTTTAATCCCAGCAGCCTGAAGCTAGGAGGTGGTGGCACACACCTTCAATCCTACGACTCAGGATTAAGAGGTAGACGGATCTCTGTGAGTCCAAGGCCACCCAGATCTGCACAAGAGTGAATCAGTCTAGACAGAATCAGAGCTCACACCTTTAATCCCCAGGACTAGAGGGGTACAAAAGACAGGAGCAAGTGGTCAGGATGAGGCGTTCATTCTCCAGCCACGCTGAGGAGAGGCAGCAACAGTCTGAGACTTGGTAAGGGCTCCCGAGACAGGATCAGCCCATTCAGTCTGAGGTAGAGGTTAGACGCTAGTGACCTGATGCTGGCTTTGTTTCCATGATCTTCAGCTTGAACCCCAACATCTGTGTCTGGGTCATTTATTAATTCGTGTTACAATCCTCACCCCATCTGATACACACCTTGTGTGTGTCTCCTGAACTATCTAGCACACTCCATCCAGTGAGTGTGCACAGCTGCGTGTTAGCCTGGTTCTTACAAATGCTGGTTTAGTCCATCTGGGGTATGGTCCAGGTGTCACATATCGAAGAGTATGTCCTGTCCCCCACCTCCACCCCCACACCCCCCATACACTCCCTGTGATCAGGAAAGGAAGCCAGCATTGTGCACTGCAGGCTTAGGAAAGATTTCTATTCAGAGGGTGAGGCCTGCTCAAGAATGTACTAGGGGCGCTAGGGTTCTGGGCCATAGACCATCTTGTGATAGCGAAGAGTCTGTGGCCCTGCAGATGCTGACTGGAATACAACCGCTCCTGGGAGGACGAAACAAGAAAAGCTTCCACCTTCTTCCCCGGGGAATGTCTTGGGATGCTGGCCTCAGCCGAGAGGGAGGGCTGCTTCGGTCACCTGTGGTTTCAGTGCTTGAAGGACAAATGGGGACTCTAAAATAGAGTGTCATCCTCCCTCCCCCCAAGACTACAGGACAACCCTTCAGAGGGTGCGCTTAGACCTAACCAGAACCAATTTCCAGACCCTTGGAGTGCGTGCTAAGTGTGCCCCTCCTCTCCGCTGGTACTACCTTCCCCGTTTTTTCTTCTCAACAAAAGTAAGAGACTCCCCCGTAACCACCATGCTGCAGGCATTGCGCCGGGACCCCGGGCAAAGGCAGTGAGACCGCATGAGAAGCAGGCAAAGTGTGTGCCTGGTCCAGTCCAGGTGGTCTCTGGCAAGACACGGAGCCTTGTCTTTCTCCCCAGAATTAGACTGACTCTTTAGGGGAGGTGGTTGTCGGGGAGGCAGGTAGTAACATGCTCATTTGAGTTAAACTGAAGCCACCACCGCTGCTCGTACCCAGAGAAGTCTGGGCCAGTGTGACAGCAAGGTCTGGTGTCACGGTGAGATCACTCAGTTGTGGCCTGAATATATCCAGCTGCGTGAACCAGTTCTTATGCGAAGCCCTGCACGTGTAGCTCATGCAACCCTTCCAGCAGCCTTCTCCGTTATACGTTCCATTACTACTTCCAATTACAGAGAATATTCATGTACATGAGATTAATAATACAGAGAACAGATGGAGACGAAATAGGGCAGAGATTTTTTTTCAAAATTATATGAACTAAATTTTGACCAAAGGTAAAGTTTGTACATATTCAATAGAATGCTCTAGCACTTTAGGCAATTACCTGAATATACAACATGAATCTTTGTATATAAGCGTTTTAAATGTACAAGAGGGTCGGTTCTTTGAGGAAGGTCACAAGCAATGTATTGAAGATCACTGGCTTTGAACCGAAAAGCCCCAGCTAAGACTCTTGGCTCAGTCCCCGTGTAGTGCTGGCCAAGCTCCGCCCTTTCTGAGGCTCAGCCCTCCTCTGTAAAAGTGAAGACAAGCGTCTCTTTTCAGCAAGGTTGCTGGAAAGATCAGATGAGATATCCCAAGAAGCCGCCTGGCTTGCAGCCCGCTGTGCTGAATAGTGAGAATCACTGGCATAGTTGGCATCTTGGAAGCCTTCCTGGCATGGGAGGGGGGGTCCATTTGAGTGAGCACTCCCCCCATTTGCTAAGAGCAATGGTTCCCACATTTGTTCCCATGGTAATCTCATGCGGAGTGGGAACACGATGCAGCTAGGCTCCACGTCTCCCTTTGTCTTCAAACTTTCTCAAAGACAGTCTTGAGAGGCATGGCTCCTCCGAGAAGCCTCCCTGGAAGGAGGACCACAGTGACCTTGCATGCCCGTCATGCCAGGTGCTTCATCGACAAATTATGGGCTGATGATGAATTCTGGGGATGGGGTAATAAATGAGGCGGGCGTTTCTCCCACCCTCGACAAACTGATGATCGAGTAAGGAGAACGGGAATGCTGCTGGTTGGCATGGTGACAGTAGACCAGCAGGGCCATCGGAAGAAGCCCAGAGAAAGTTACCTACCAGGTTAAGGCCACCAACAAGAGTGTCCTAGAGAAAGAATTGTCTAAACTAAAATGTGGAGGGCATGCTGGGTTCTGAGAACAGAAATTTTCCTGCCGTTAGCTGTGGAGATAAATGTTTACCGGCCTTGACCTTAATGTCACCCATTCCCTTGCCCTCCTAGACAATGGCATGTACCTGGCAAACAGAGAACCTCTGATAAGTTTTGTGTTAGGCATTCTAGTTGCAACGCCACAACTAGCAGGCAGTAAGTGTTGCTAAGCTAAGAGGGAGGGGCCTCTTGGAAACCCTTGTGCTTTGGGCAACACTGCATGAAATCCAGGCCAGTCAGACAGGGGCTAGCAGAATCCCACCTGCTGGCTCCTAAGGCATGCTCCTTAGGAGGCAATATATGATGGTCTCATGTGGATCCAAAACCAGGATTTATCTTAGAGCACTTGGCCTGCAAAGGGAGTGTATGTATGCCCACTGATCCCCGGGCTGGGGCTCTGGGCCAGTCATGGTGAGTGGTAATGATGTGACTTGTCTGAGCCTGCATCTGCTGTCCCATACCAGAGAAGAGCAGAGTCATCAGTGGGGATGAGAGGGCAGGATGGTCCGTTCACACTCGCTCGTTCTTAGCAAGTCAGGTCCAGTCACTCGGTTGACAGACTCAGCTGTTCTTGCTGCCCCGAGGTGGACTTTTTCCTTTGTCAAAGTCCCACACCCACCCCAGCTCATAGCCTTCAAGGTATTCTGTTCAAGCCCACAGAATTCACAGACTCGGGCAAACAAGCCCTGTTCACCAGCAAACCAAAGCCAGCTGGGACTGGATATTCCTTTTAAGACCCAGAATGTAGACCTTCTGTGACATTTCAGAGTCTTCTGTTTGTGGGATGTTCCTGGAAAGCCACAAACCAGGACTTCCGTGTTCCTCGGAGCACGGAAACGATTCTCACGCTGCCAGACCCTCCGAATCTCACGGTTGGCTGCGGAGGGTCGGTGGTACCATCCTGGCAGCCTAGCTCTGAAGATGGCCACACTTAAGGCAAATCCATCCGAGTCTTTTCCAGTTCCCCACCTCCAGTGCCGACTCACCCCATGATTACCGCCAAAGAAGTTGCTCGATGAGTGAGAACACAGATGGAGACTGAATTCCTGGGGAGAACCCAGCACAGCGTGGGAGCCAGGGTCAGCTGATCGGGCCTCAAAACCTTGAGCCACGTGTGCCAAGGTGTGCAAGGCTTCCCCCACCTTGGAGAGGGAGACTGACTGCCACTTGAACCAGGCCAGAGCCAACCGCCGCAGAGGTCCTCTCGGGAAAGCAGGCCTGTCCCTACTGAGCCCTTTCACAGCCTGTTGGTGGCCCCAGTCACTTGATTCTGCCCCGTGCGCGTGGTTGGCGTTTGTAAGGGTCCACAGTCAGGGACAATCTTCTCTTGCTTCCTTCCTCCTGGACCACAGGACAGACAAGCATTATTTCATCTACAGCAAGGACAGACTCCCGAACTAATGGTTTCCGGGGTGCCATTTCCACAATGATAAGAGGCTCCCACGCCAAATCCAGCCCCTGCTTATAACCCTGACTTAGGACCACTTAGAAACAACAGTGTTCTATGACCTTCTTTTAGAGGGGACATCCCGCTTGCCGGTACGGTCTTTGTGACTTACCACCATCTTCTCTAAGGTCCATGCCAGGTAAACATTCAGCACGGGCCAATGCCTCCAGCCAAGTGAGGCCTCTGAAATAAAAACACACAGTCCCTGCTGCTGGGACCAGTAGCCACTTGCTGTTAGCTGGGGAAGGACGGCCATTTGTTATTGTCTCAGAGCTGACGCCGTGCCAATCCACACATCTGGAATCGGTTAGGAAGAAGTGCCTGAACGCCAGGGTCTCATGACCCTGCAGTCTCCCCTTCTGTAGCTCTGTTTAATTCACTGGTTAGAAGCGATGAGTGGGTCACTGGTGTAAGGACACAGACTAAAGGAGAAAAATAACTCACAATGGCACACATACTATTTCAGGGGCGCTGCGGTGGGCTTCGTGTCTAAATAAACACTTGTTTGAAGTTGCACACCATGCAGTACTTTAATCACCACGCCAAGCCTTTGTGAGCCCAGCCTCAAGGTCCGTGTCATTCCCAAACTTGGCCGACTCCGCCGCATCTTCCCAAGGGCTCAGTAGAATTGGCACTTATTTGATTTGGTCACACAGAGACAGTCTGGTGTTGCAGGCCACAGAGACACACGCTTGTTGCCTCCTTGAAACTGCAAGCAACCAGAAAGTTCAGCAGGAGCCTGAGCAGCACGTGATGCTGGTTGGTGGTCCATGCCGATGACATCAGCATCCACGAGCCCTTGGGATCTACTTTAGGGCTTCTCGCTTTTGGAGAAGTGACCCAAATCAAAATCAGATCTAACTCTGAGAAGCCTGAACGAATCAAGCCTCGGGGTATTGAGTATATGCTGTACCATGGAGAAGAGGTAAAAGATGGTTTAACGTGAAAAGTCAGGGTGGCATCTTCTTTTTTTGTCCAGTCAGAATTCTTTACATGTAAATGTGACTTCTTTGGACTCTCCTGTGTCTCCTGAATTATCAAGTCCTAACAAGAACCAGAAAGCCAGCCCAGCAGCCCTGGCTCCAGTCTCTGCCTGAGGAGTTGCAGTCTACCTTGCTGACACGGCCTCCCCTAGCCCGGATGATGAATCACCTCTTCTGGGAAGACTCTGGGACCCCTGCCCCCTCCCTGTCCCATCCCTGCCCCCTCCCTGCCCACACCAGCTGTATGGTGTGGCATGTGGTTGGTACTTCCCTTAGGAGCTGCTTTTGCGTAGAGCCTTGTGTTAGGCGCTGCTTTCGCCGTGTATGCATCTGGCTGTCTATGGGCTGAGTGCTTCCCGCCCGCCCGGCATGACTCACTCCTGTCTGGAGGCAGCCCACTGCAGGCTAGCTCAGGCAGATGGGAAGACCCCATCGAGACCGACTTTCCAGAGTGTGCTAGCTTCTGAAAACTGTCAGGACATTTGTTAAAGGACTGACTAATAGGACCAGCTCACCCTCTAATGTGGCCTCTGCACTAGAGATGAGGTAACTCTTTTGTTGTCTGAAAACTTTGATGTCCTAAATGTTAGACGATGTCATTAGTTTAACTGATTCTCATACACATCAACTTATATTTGATCAGTCATGAAGCAAAGTACTCCAGGTTTTTTCTTTTAACGTGCCTGGCACAGTGTTGACACAGGTCCACGGGGCTGTGTGAGCCACCCCCTGGGCCCGGGACCTTTCACTTCTTACTTCATGTGATTTTCCTGGAGCTTTGAAGAAACAATGGCGACTGCATCGCAGGTGTGAGTCCTTCTCCAGAGCGGGCTGCGCTGGGAAAAGTAGCTCTGCCCAGTCAGAGTCAGACGGAGGAGGTTAGAGCTTTGACACTCCCTTCACCAAAGCTGCCTCTTTCACTAGAGTAGCTTGGGGGAAGTTGGGAGGGTTTCTTCAGTGAACATCTCTGCAGAGAAAGTGATAGGGTTTCAAAAGCTACATCGATACCCTACATGGAGAGGGGTACATCTTTGAACAATTCCTCCAGGGATAGACCTGACTGGGGCATTGAGGGAACGAAGAAAAGACAGACACACGGGGGAGCTGGGCCTGGGTGGATGGGACTCTGATGGAGAAACTGCAGTATCTGGGTCACACTGTGTTTATTATCTACAGTTGAGCAGGTAGGTAGGGTTATTCCGTACAACTGAACTTGGAGGCAGGCTTAGCTAGTGTCTGTAGAAGTCACCTCTGTAAAGGAGCAGACTTTGGACTAAACATCTGGGGAGAGAAGGTTAATGGTGAACACTTTCTGCACACACTATTAGCAATCACACCCAGACCCACAAGAAAGGCTTTTCTATCCCTCTGAGCCTCAAGGGAAGGAGGGGCTTCGCTGTTTTCCCATGGGTCTGGTGCTGTGGTCCTAAACATGGGTGCCTGTCACGCATCCACTCAGGATTTCACACCAAGGCACAGCACACATCCACTCAGAATTTCACACACTCAAGGATTTCTCCACTCCCACAGGACACAACCCATATGGTGGTTTGGGGTGCACCAGGCTGGGGTGGGCTGTTTCCTTCATATGTTGACTCTGCTGGCTTTGTGGTCAGCCTGGTGAGTTCCTTTGAGTCTCTCAGCCTTGACTTCTTTGTGTGTGGAGTAGTGAAGACAGCAGCACCCAACTTACGGTCTCTCAAGGATCGGAAGGCTTGGTGAATGCCTTTGGCAGTCCATTGACAGGACAGTGCTCTGTGTGTGCACGTGGATGTCTGTTTCCGATGCTGCTCTTCTGATTCTTCATGCCATCCCCCTCAGAGCGTCTTCCCTCGACCCAGCCTGGAGGGACCGTGGTGGCTGGTCCTTGCTCTCGTTTGTTGCGTCCAGAGACGATAATTCACGTCTGCTATCTGGTCCTCTTTATCACTAGGAACGCTGTGCCCTTCACTACAGGACACTGCATGGCTTTCGTGCATCTCAGTACTCACCAATTCATGTCCTGGTTATTCCTCTGGAGCCCCATGAATGGAACAGGGAGGAGGAAGATGCTGGGGGTGATTTGTAGGATTGAGGGGTAGGTGCAGCTGGCAGATATGGTATCGACAGAACTGCCCTCGGATCCTGTCTCCTTGGCTGGGCCTCGTGCCTTACTGGGTGTGGTCAATGGAGGGTTGGGAGTAGTCCGAACTGGGTTTCACGTGGCTCTCTGTACGGGGTTTAATTCTGTCCTTCCACGGCTGGGTCAACATGCTGTCTTGGACAATGGCATGCTCCAGAGTGTGGAAACACAATGTCAGAATCTCACCATCCTGTCCTGCACAAATCTCCTTCCAGAGCACGGATCGGATGTCTGGGGTGCTCCGAGGCGGAGTGGGATGGCACCCGGGGAAGAGCACCCTTAGGACCTTAGACTCAGTTTTAAGAACGGCTGCCGCAGAGCCAGATGTCACAGTTGCTTCAGTCTGCCTTTGCCTCCCCCTTTGACAACACTGCAACTGAGGAAGTACAGACTTACTTCCTCTTGGTTTTGAGGACCAGCCAGAGAGTCAGCGTGTGACTTTGGGAGTACCTGCCCGGGACTCTCACTCCATCATGCTTGTATGGGATGATTTCAGTGGGCATTCAGGGGAGGAAGCCAGGAATAACATTCCTTAGAGCCCTCCAGAGCTGTAGCCGGAGTCAGAGACCACGTATGGCAGTGTGGTCCTAGACATGCTGGCAAGTTGCCACCTAAGCAATCCCACTGAAGTCTCTCTCTAGTGCAGACCTCTCATTTGGAAAAGGCAAGAACGCACCAAAAACGATTTAGACAAGACCTTTCAAAACTCAGCAGGGCAGCCCGCTGATGGGCCATAAATATCGAGTTGTTTCCATGATATCTTATTATGGGGTGTATAAAAGGACCACTGGGCAAACACACAGGCTGCCTGTCAAGACGGACTTTCACCCTCAAAAGGAGAGCAACCCCACCCCACAAGTGGGAGAATCAGGAAGAGAAGCCAGCTGAAAATGCTCCAGTCCAACTTTGAACGGCAAAGTTGGTTCTGAAAGTGCTGGTGTGTGTGCAGGAGACAAAGAAGAGCATGGGAGCGCTGGCGAGGCTGTGGGAGAAGAGGAAGTGCGCCTAGCGGGAGCTGGCAAAGGCACACAGGGGCAAACTGATGGGGGGAGTCAAGAGGGACAATTTCAGAGGGGACTTGGGTGTCAGGTGCGTAGAAGGAGGGAAGTAAATCGTGGGGTCTTTTGCTGTAGGTGATATGGATGGATTTTCCCACTGATACGGTCTTTTCCCTACATTTTCCAAGCTTTTTGTAAAAATAAATAAATAAGTAAATAAATAAATAACCTATGTTCTTTTCTCTGTACATTGAAAGAAAAAAAAACAACAAAGCAGTCTGGACCTTCTTGCCTAAATAGTAGCTCTCCGGAGTGTCTAGGCCAGCAGTATTTGGTGGGTTGAGGGAGACAGGGGATGCCGGGAAAAGTGGGTGGGGTAGAACAGGAGATGATGCTAAGGACTTGACTGTGGGTCAGTAAGAGGAGGTGACAGGAATCTGGGTGTTCAAGTGTGAGAGACGGAACAGAAACTTTGAGGAAAGGTCTGGGAAGAACCATTTTCTTGGTAACAGAGGACACACGGGAATCAGAGAGGCAGGAGAGACAAACCCACGTGCAGGGTTTCCTTACCGTGAAGGGTGCCATTGGCAACAGCCTCAGAAAGACATGTGTGCCTAGAGAGCTGTGTGGGTCCCTGGACTTTGGAATGCTTGGCTGCTTGGTGCTGTCTAGCTCTCTGGGGCCGTTGCCTGCCTTGGAGAAAAAGAAAACACAACCAGGAAAGCAGACTGGGGTGGGTAAGCTTGGTCACACAAGCCAGCGAACTGCCGTCCGCAGACATCACTCTGCAAAAGCGTTTGGGGTCAGGCAACTAGAGCAACCCCGAGATCACCTCTGGGTTCTCCTCAGAGATCTCAGCTGTGCCAAATCAATACAGGCTCTCTTTATGAAAAATCAATTTCCCTGGAAAACAAATTTGGGTTCTAACCAGCAAGTAGCATTTGGCAAACTCTCCTGAAGAAAAACCAGTGTTTGGAGAAGTGACGGAAACAGCAAGTTGTTGAGCAGAGCAAACCTGGGAGCCTAGTGTCCCCCTCAGCTGGGAATGCAATGCTGCGGCTGTGTTTTCAGATCTTACCAGCCTCCCCCCCCCCCCAGAGTCTTGGAAGCGGGGAGGGAGAACAGATGATGACTTGGAGCCCTATTTCCTCTCCCGTTCAGTGTGTAGAGGACAGTGACTATCAACAACAAGGACCCAGAGCCAAAGCCACCTGGCCGTCACAGTCACACCTTGATGGTCATCGCAGTGGGCACTGACCTCAACGTATGAGCTGAGATTTCCTCTGCTGTTGTTTAGCTGGGGCAAATATTCCAGGATATTCCTTTCAGGTCAATCATTTGATCCACACTCTATCCTCACCTGAAGGTCACCTAGCTAATGTGACCCCATAGGTGGGGGCTCCCAGGGAGCATCACAGAGGGACCCCGTCAAGACATGGGGTCAGATTCTTAGGTCTGAAGAGAGCCTTGGAGTCTCCAGGGGTATGGCTGCTGCTTCCTGCATGCCTCATCTGGAGTGGCAGGGCTGTGGGAGAGCCCTGGAAAGTCAAGTCCCACAGGACATCATGGTCACCCCTTGGCTGTAGCCAATGGGGCCGTTTCTTGACTATGTCCCTTACATGAATACAAGGTACTGCATGATGCGTGACATAAGAAACGGGGGCTCCCAGACCTGACACATACACACTTGGAAATCCCATGCAAAATATGCCTTCCTATTCCTTCTAGGTTGTATGTGGGGCAGGCTGGAGAGGCCGGGTGTCCTCTGGGAAAGGTTTGACCATTTCCCTGGATGCCCAAGCACTTGGGGACGGGAACAGCACAGCCAGGCCTGAGCTGGCCTGATGCCCGCCTCTTGTCCACAGACGCGGCATCCCATGCAGAAAAGCTCGTTCTTCTGCTACTGAAGGGCCCTTGTTGAGTGTTCCAAAGTTGCTTTCACATAGCTTTTGGTGATCTTGTATGTGCCACAAAAAACAAAAGCAGTCATTTTTCTAAAGTACCTGGAAAAAGTCTAGTAATTATTGCTCCAAACAAGCCTGATTTCCTCGTGTTTAGATTTTTCTAATGTGGAAAGAAAAAAAAAAGTTCTCAAATGAAAGCACTGTGTTTTGCCCTGGCTGCTCCAGGCCATGAGGCTGGATGACCCCCCCAAACACACACACACACACACACACACACACACACACACACACACACACACAGCGACATCACTGTCTTTGAAGAAGCAGCTACTACCGTGGGGGGTATGTTTACATTACTCCCTTTTATGGGTAGGGGTGGTGTGGAGCCTGTGGTGGAATTTTTAAAAATATCTAAACAGTAACTGAAGCATTACTGTGATCTCCTCACTGAGCTCATGGAAAAACTCGAGTCATCCAATGTTAGTTTTATGGAGAGGGGAGTGAGGATGGGTGAGATCACCAGCCTTGCTCAGACCCCTCCATCTCGCCAGAGGTGGGGGTATGCTGGCCTGGAAAGTGGAAAGCGTGCTTCCCAGACTCTTGTCCCAAGTTGACACTGCCGGGCTTCCTGGCCTGGGGGATGCTTTCTGGGATCAGGCCTGCACTTGACTCTATCTACGGGTGTCCCCCAGCATCCTAGACCAGACAGCTGGTTGTTGAATTCAGAGCCATGTCTTGCCTTCTAACAGAGGTTGCTTGGATCCATCAGGACCTCCCTCCTCTCACTGCATCTCCGCCCCCGGGCTGTCAGCCTCCTCTCTGCTTGTACCTTCCCTCCAGCAAATCTCTGACTAGCTCTTGCTCCATGTCCCCTCGCTGGAGAATGGCTTCCAGGGCTGAGACGACATCTTTTATCCCTCCCTCGAGCCCTGGATCAGGCTGTCTGCAGACATTCCACTGAGATGAATCACCTGTACCTCGAACTCGTCAGGTCCCAAGCTACTCATCTTTCCCTGGCAGAGTGCGCCCGTCTCCATGGCCTTCACATGAAAAACAGCAGCGGCAGCCATCGTGATGCCTGAGTCTCAAACACCTTACTCATCCTTGATGCTTCTTTGTCCCCCAGTACGTAGCATGTCGGTTACTTTTCTCACGGCTGTGACCTGACAGTTTAAAATGGCTCACAGTCCAGACGAGACCAGTCTGGTGTGGCTGGGGAGGCGGGCGGCGGAGGTTGCTTGCTCAATCTCTGTGGACCACAAGGCAGAGCATGGAGGCCGTTCCTACTCACCTGGTCTTCTCTTCTCCCCTCCTAATTCAACTCAGGACCACCGCCCTATTCAAAGGGGGCCTTTCTCTTTTGGCTGATCTTTGGAAACACCACTGTAGACATACTCAGAGCCAAGTGTCACTGATGCCCCTGGGCATTTGTCAGTCCAAGCCAGCTGGTAATCAAAGTCATCCATCACATGTAGCCCATGTGTTCCCCGGAGACTACTGTCTCCTAGACACGCCTCCTTCTCCACCTTTACTATGATAGCTCCAGTTCCTGCCTGGTCCCCTCCTGCTCACCCCACCCTCCTGACTCCGTCTTGCCTTACTTTATCTGGTCTTCTCAAAGCCTGCTCATGACACTGGCTGTGGCATCTGCTTGCTTCCCTAACACTGGCAGAATTCTTAGCTTGGGTCTGGCCCCTGCTGTGCCCCTCCCTGTCTTTTGCCCTGCTCTTGTCTCCACCCAGCATGCTTCGGTCCTCTGCCTGGCAGATGCTATCGGACTCTGGCCTGAGCCAGGTGCCTACTCCAAACTCCTAAGCCTCCACCCAGCTGCCTCTCTCCATGGTATCTTCTTGGCTGGGCCCATGTTCTCCACATCTGGGAGCTCACCCCCTGGAGCTAGAGGAACCAGGTAAGGGGTGGGTGACTAATAGGTGCTAAGGTAAGTACTCTCCTCCTTACTGTGTGACTGCTTGCACGCTCTGAGCTCCGGGGCGTGTTCCCAGCTCTTCCCTCTCTTTGCAGCACCTGCCTGGCATTCACAGATTTTCACTGAAGCCAGGTGAGGGTTTCCCGATTGCCAGGGTGTGCGCCCCGCCCTTCCCCACATTTCTCTCAACAGCGAGATTTGCTCCTCACCTACAGTGTCTCAGCACGGTTGGTGCATCTGGCCTGCACCTTCCTTTGGACCCGCACTTTGTGCGAAGTGGGAGGAGGGTGTGTGAGCAGGCTGGGCGGTGCAGGAGGGCGCGGGTACTTAGTAGTGGCTTGGCCTGGGAGGCGCCGTCCGCCCTTCCCCGCCCTCGGCCCCCGTTCCCTCCCTCCCGCTACTAAACCCAACGCGAGCTGCCCAGCGGCTCTCACTTCTCCTGCGCCTGCTTTCATCGTGGGTCCGCACGCGTTCCTGCTCCATGGCGCTCCTGATGCAGCTGCTGACCCTGGCTCTGGCACTGGCCCTGGGCCCCACCGCGACCCTGGCGGGCCCAGGCAAGTCGCCCTACCAGCTGGTGCTGCAGCACAGTCGGCTCCGGGGTCGCCAACACGGGTAAGCCCCAGCGGTTCCGTGGTGGGCGGTGCAAGGACAAGTCAGCTGCCAGTGAACTCCCGCTGGGGACATCGTAGTATCCGGCCAGAGTTGCAGGGAACAAAACTCGAAGGAAAAGCAGCCAGTGCACAAAGAGACTAGCCTACTGCATGGAGGGAGGGACGGTGGGATGATGCCATGCGGGGGTCCAGCAGAAAACTTTGTAGCGAAAGGGTTGGGAACACTGGCCAAACGACCACAGACTCAGACCAAAGCGCATGAGACAGCCTAGGGGACTTTCAGTCTTCTCTCCTAACTCTAGGTGGAAGGGGTTGTTGGCAGCTCTCAGCAAGGGATCACCAGGCACCCTGAGGTGTCCACTGCAGAGGGGAAGCCCAGCCAGGTCACCTGCTCAGTGATTCCAGGTGTGAGACTGGTCACACCAGGTAGCAGGTCCTTAGGTTCCCACAGCCCCTATGCACCCAGCATGGCTCTGCACCCAAGCACGCATCCCCAGACAGTGCTTTCTGTCCACAAAACCAGTGTGGCACCTGGTAAATGAAGAGCAGGTAAATTCACCACCCTTCATACATACTAGATACCCTGGGGGAACCGATCCCTGAGTAGGTATCAGCCTGCCATGTGGTATACCCTGGAACCAGTGTTAGAATGTGTCTCAGAGCCACGGCCAGCTTTGTAAACATCAGTCAGTCATCCTTCAGGGATTCTTGGGGGGACACTGCAGATGTGTGGGCTTCAGGAGACGACCTGGGCAGGGTATGCCCAATGGGGAGCCCGGA